CACACTTCCTGGACTGTCTGCGGGCTCTGATGGACAAGAGGAGGGGAGGTAAAGCCCAGGGCAATGACAGCAGTGCCACCACAGATACACAGAGCACTGGTGGGATGGGTCTCCACTCAGCAAAGATACCTGGAGCCCCATGCTCGTGTCCCCTACAGGACTCTTTCCCCCTGGCCCCTACAATATCAGGAGAGGCTCCTGGCCCTAATGAAGGTGGTGTCGGGCTGCCTCCTTCCCAGGCTGCCTCGGAGACACTCAGTTCAGTTTTCGAATGCGCCAGTGTGGAGGGCGAAGGAGTCCCTGGCATGCCGATGACAGGAACTACAACAGCAGGGCCCCTGTGGCGCTGCAGGTGAGTGTGGGTGACCTCTCTGGCCTGCCCTTTTACCCTGCTCCTTAGGGCCTTTCAAAGCTCCTACACCTTGAGTGACAGGAGAGGTGCTGATGGAGGGCATCCTACGGGGTCACCGATTGTTGAAAGCCCTGCCACTGCTAGTGTTGCACCAGGGAAGTTCACTGTGCATGGGCTTGCCAGTTTCAGAGTCTCTTGGAATTGTTCTTCCTGGGTTGGCTCCCTGACCCCCTCCCTGGCTCGATACCTATAGAGTGAATAATGAGCAGATGCCTGCAGGGCCTTCCCGGCTCCTGCCCTAGCCTCCCTTCCCTATGTCAGTTGTGTCAGGACAGGCTTCTTTCTTTCTTTTTCTTCTTTTTTTTTTTTTTGGTCAGTCATGGGCTTGAACTCTGGGCCTGGGCACTGTCCTTTAGTTCTTCAGCTCAAGGCTGAAGAACTTGAGCCACACTTGAGCCACAGCACCACTTCTGGTTTTCTGGTGGTTTATTGAAGATAAGAGTCTCATGGACTTGGCTGCCTGGGCTGGCTTTGAACCATAATCCTCAGATCTCAGCCTCCTGAGTAACTAGGATTTCAGGTGTGAGCCACTGGTGCCCGGCTAGGACAGGTTTCTGGAGTGGTGTTGCCCACGTTCTGAGGAAAGGACCTTACGCCCAACCCTGGGAGGGCCTTCAAGCCTGCAGTGAGGACAGCCCTAGAGCACAGGGGCAGCCGCTCCTGGGTTTCTGCATCTCCAGGCTTCAGTCTTCAGCAGTCCGTTTGTCACCACTGGCCCCACGCCTGCCGGTGGGCTTGGGTGGGGCATGCTAATACTGCACTCGTTCCAGAGGGAGTCAGCACACTACCTTGGCTACGTGTACTTCAGGCAGGTGAAGGACAGCTCTGTGAAGAGGGGCTACTTACAGAAGGTGAGGGGTCTGCCACTGTTGGGTGGCTATGGAGAGGTGGGAACTGGCAGGCAGCGGACAGTGGGGCTGGCTAGGAACCCTGCACCTCCAGGAATCCCCACCCTCTGTGGTGTTCTGGGCCACAGAGCCATCTCCACAGCTCTCCTTGCAGGCCCTTCCTTGAGAGCCATCTGTTCTAGACCTTGGACAGCCCTCCTCCTCACTGCTCAGTGGCCTCTCATACTATCAGGGTTAGGAAAATTTCAGTTTGGAACTTCGGCACTGAAGGCCAAAAGCTACTTGGCCACTAAGAAGGTCATTCTAGAAACCATAAATTTCCTTCTGAAGGCCCCAGTCTAGCTCCACCCTGTTGTCATCTGGAAGTTTCCCCCACCTTAGGACACAGGCATTGGGCTTTCCCGTCTCATCCTGCTGGAGTCTGAGTTGGCCACTCTGAGGGTTGGTAGGATGTACTGTCTGGGCCAATTGTGTGTAAGTGTGCCATCAGAGGCACTCTTAGGACCTTGAGTGGCAGAGGGTAACATCTGGAGCTTCATACTCTAACTGGACTTATGTTAACACAGTCTTTGGTGTTGGTGTCCCGTTTGCCCTTTGTCCGGCTGTTCCAGTCACTGCTAAACCTGGTTGCTCCTGAGTACTTCGAGAAGCTAGCTCCCTGCCTGGAAGCAGGTGAGCTACTGTTCAGGTGGCCATTGTAGTCTTAATACACAGCTTCTCCTTGAGGAGGGCTCCTGACTTTGGCCACTTGTATCCACAGTTTGTAATGAGATTGACCAATGGCCAGCCCCTGTTCCTGGGCAGACTTTGAATCTACCTGTCATGGGAGTTGTCATCCAGGTGAGAGCCAGCTGAGGAACTAGTACTACTTGGAAAGTGCTCAGACACACTCTGCTCCCCTAGCAGCTGCATTTCTTCCTCCCAGGTGCGCATCCCTTCTAAGGTGGACGGTCCAGAATCCAGTCCTCCAAAGCAGTGTGACCAAGAGGTGGGTGATGGGGCAGAGGGAGCCGGACTCTGCCTGAGTGCTGCTCCTGGGCTGCATGGTACCTCCCCGTCTCCCCTGCTCAAAGACAGGCAGACAGGAAGGCAGAGCAGCAGTGCCTGTCAGCGGCAGAACCTGTGCTGTGTGGAGGGGAACGGCATGGGGCATGGGTATAGGGTTTTCCTCAGGTGCAAACTTCAACCTCCATCTTGATCTACTCTCCTTCCATCTGACAGAACCTCCTGCCAGCCCCCACGGTCCTTGCCAGTGTGCATGAACTGGACCTGTTCAGGTAAGCCCTGTATGGTGTTCATGCTACTTTGGAGAAACCAACCAAAGGCTAGGTGTCTGTGTGTCATGCGGGGTGGGGCTGCCAAGAGAAGATCCCACCATCTGGAGTAACTCTTGGGTCAGGCCTTTGAGAGGCAGTTCTGCAGAGAGGAAATCCAGGCACAGTGTCAGAGTAGGAGGGAATGACCACACGTGAAGAGACATTTGCTGCCTGAGCTGTCCCTCTCTGCCTCTTCGAGGGAGCCTGGGCCTTGAGCTTCTCGTGTCCCATGATGGGCCCCACAGAAGCCAGAGCCGTAGTTTGTGGGGGAGCTTGCAGGGGAACATCAAGGGTCTGGGTGGGAAGCCCCTGTCAGGGTTTTGGGGCTGCAGCATGATTGCCAGCTCTCACAGACGGGGTCCAGGAAAACCCCGTTCTCGGGGCTTTAGGTGGTCTGTTGGAGACAGGATGGCTGATGAGTGTCCCGCTGCCGGAAGCCTCAGCCCTGCCTGAGTTCCCACTGCCCTGGCCACTCTAGGTGCTTCCGGCCTGTGCTGGCCCACGTGCAGATGCTGTGGGAGCTCATGCTTCTTGGGGAGCCCCTAGTAGTTCTGGCACCCTCACCTGACATGTCTTCAGAGCTGGTGCTGGCCCTAACAAGGTATGCACCTCACCGCTGGCCCATCCTGGCTGGACTGGCTGCCCCACCCTAACCTGTCGCTGCCTCCCACCCCACAGCTGCCTGCAACCCCTCAAGTTCTGCTGTGACTTCCGCCCCTACTTCACCGTCCATGACAGCGAGTTCAAGGAGCTCACAACACGCACACAGGCCCCGTAAGTGCACACCCTGCCCACCCACCCTCCCACACCAACTCCCAGCCTCTCTGCTTCTTCTCTCTCTCTTTCTCTCTCTCTCTCTCTAGACCAAACGTGGTCCTGGGAGTCACAAACCCTTTCTTTATCAAAACACTCCAGCACTGGCCCCATGTCCTCCGCATCGGGGAGCCCAAGATGTCAGGTGAGGGGTCCGGGTACCCTTGAAGCCTTACCTGACTTGGGGTTTTGTGGGGGGGCCTGAGCCCTATGACCTATGACCTCCTAGCTATAGACAGGACCAGAGCCATGGCACTGAGGCCTGGCCACTGGGTATGTTTCACAGGGGACCTTCCTAAGCAGATCAAGCTGAAAAAGCCCTCAAGACTCAAGACCCTGGACACCAAGCCAGGTCCATGCCCTTCTAGGGCTGAAGCCCTCTCTGCTGTGGAGAAGCCCATCCTGCACTTGGTGGATCAGTCACCTGGCAGGGACAGCCAGCCCTCCCGAGCCCTCCTCCTTCTACTCAGAGCCCCCCACCCCCACCCAGGAGTAGAATGGGGATTGTTGTCTGTTTTTTCTGTCAGTCATGGGGCCTGAACTCTGGGCCTGGGCGCTGTCCCTCAGCTCTTCAGCTCAAGGCTAGCGCTCTACCACTTGAGCCACAGCCCCACTTCCGGCTTTTTGCTTTTTGCTTATATGGTGCTGAGGAATCAAACCCAGGGCCTCAGGCATGCAAGGCAAGCGCTCTACCACTGAGCCACCTTCCCAGCCCTAGACTGTTGTCTTTAGCAGGCACGTTCTTTGAATCTGGGGTTGGGCCGAGGTATAGGCTTGGCCAAAGGAGTGGAGCTTAGACAGCTATCCTTACCTGTCAGTAGAGCTGTGAGACTGGGGAAGGCAGGCCTGGGGGGCTGCTACAGCTCTGACCTCCCGACAGGTCTTTACACCTCGTTCACGGCCCACCTCCACCGGGACAAGGCACTGCTCAAACGGTTGCTCAAGGTACAGTCTGTTGGGGCCTGGCCCTGGGCATGTGGTGCCATTGGCTATGCTCATCCTCTGCCTCTTCCTGCAGGGGGTTCATAAGAAACGTCCTTGGGATGCACAGAGCGCCCTGCTGAGGCAGCGCCTCCTGGAGCTCACTCAGAGCTTCATCATTCCCCTGGTAAGGCCTGGCAGGGCATGGTGTTGGCAGAGGCCTGGGGGGGGGGGCGGGCAGAGGGAAGGGGGCGCGCAGTCAGTGTCAGCAGCAGCGGCAGGGACAGTAGGGGCCCAGCCTAGGTCCAGGCTTATCCTCCTCCCTGCCCACAGGAGCACTACATGACCAGTCTCATGCCACTGCAGAAGAACATCACGCCCTGGAAGGTGGAGTCTTTCGGGGTCTGAGGAGGGGCAGATTCCCTCCCTATCACGGGGGGGGGGGGGGGGGGTGAGGGGGTGGGGAGGGAGGGAGGGGCTGTGATACGGAGCCATAGAGCTTTTACCAGGTGTCCCTTATAGGGTATAAAACAGATAGGGGCTCTGACAGAACCCATGGAGGGGTTTGGTACCTCCTACCTGGGTCAAACCTCCAGAGATTTGTCCCGTGAGGGGTAGGCAGGAATCACTAGATACATCCTGGGTGGAAGGACCTAGTTGGATGAGGGACAAAGCCTTCAACTGTGTCCCCAAGCACTAGGATTCACCTAGCCTCTCTGGCTTCCTTTGTAGACTCCCCCCCAGATCCGTCCCTTCCGCCAGGATGAATTCCTGCGTAGTCTGGAACATGCTGGACCCCAGCTCACCTGCATCCTCAAGGGCGACTGGCTAGGCCTCTACAGGTGGGGAGATGGTGGGTGCAGACTCCGAGGCTGCTCCTTGGCCTACTGGGTCGATTATAGCTGCCTCTCACTACTTACAGACGGTTTTTTAAGTCACCCCATTTTGATGGCTGGTACCGGCAGCGGCACAAAGAGATGGCTCAGAAGCTGGAAGCCTTGCATCTGGAGGCAATTTGTGAGGCGGTGAGGGAGGACAAGAGGGGGGTGGGCATTGGCCAAGGGTAGGGAGGGTATCTGAGTGTGGAGAACCCAGAAATGTCCCCAGAAATGTCCCCAGAAAAAGACAAACACTGGCTCATGCCTGTAACCCTAGCCACTCAGGAGTATTATGGCTAAGGCCTTCCTGGGTAAATTAATCGTGAGACTATGGGGCATGGTGTTATGTGCCTGTCATCCTAGCTACTCAGAATGTTTGAGTAGGAGGATCACTCTCCAGGCCCACCCAGCCAAAACGCAAGACCTGACTTGAAAATTAATGGGAGGGAGGGCTGGGAAGGTGGCTCAGTGGTAGAGCGCTTGCCTTGCATGCCTGAGGCCCTGGGTTCGATTCCTCAGCACCACATAAGCAAAAAGAAAAAAGCTGGAAGTGGCTCTGTGTTTCAAGTGGTAGAGCGCTAGCCTTGAGCTGAAGAGCTGAGGGACAGCGCCCAGGCCCAGAGTTCAGGCCCCACGACAGACAGGAAAAAAAAGAAAAAAAGGTCAATGGGAGGGGGAGCATGATTCAAGTGCCTGGCCCCTCCCACTTTCCCTGCAGAACATCGAGTCCTGGATGAAGGACAAGTCGGAGGTGGAGGTCGTGGACCTGGTCTTGAAACTTAGGGAGAAGCTGGTGAGAGGCCTCCCCATCCTACCCACCCAACATCCACCTGCCCCTGCTTTAGCACACTGCCCCTGACGGCCATTGCCCCTCCAGGTGCGGGCACAGTGCCACCAGCTCCCTGTGAAGGAGGTAACACTGCAGCGGGCACAGCTGTACATCAAGACTGTCATCTGCTCCCTGCCCAAGGACCTGCAGGCTGTACTATGCCCTCCCTAGGATTCAATCCCAAGGACATGGGCTGGCCAGGCCTCCCTGTCCCCTGTGGGGTGGGCTTCTGCCAAGTGTGAGCTCCGAGCCTCGGCTCCCTAACCAGGCTGTGGTCTCCTCCCAGCACCACCTGCGTCCCCGCAGTAAACATGACATTTGGAACCGCAGCCTGTTCCCCGTTGGGAGATTCTGTCCTGGCAGAGCTTGGCCCCTCTTAGGCCTTACCATTCCCTCCACTGCCATTGCCCTGGGGTAGAGGTGGGCTGTGAGCCTTCAGTGATGCGGACACACTCAACATGCCCCTGCTGGCGCCCATCTGTCTACATACCACGCCTTGTGTTTGGTGTGTTCTTTAGCCCAACAAGCTACCCAGCCTAGGACGGAGGAGGCGGCTTCCAGGGCTGATTCCCCCCCCCCCCCCGCCCCCCCAACCCCAGCCTAGGCTAGGGCAGGAGAAGACTTTGCTTACAGTCACTTGGGAGGGCACTGGCTGCCTGGTGAGGACCTCAGTCCCCACTGCACTGGTTTGCTGGGGAGGGAAACAGGGAGTGGTGTGGTGCCTGGCGCTCCTGCTGGGCGAGCAGGCTCAGCCTGTCTGGCGGTGGGGGAAGGGTTCCCCTGCATGGCTCTGATCCTTTCCTGGAACACTCCCCCTCTGGACACCAGATGCATACATTCCATTCTGGCTAAGAGGTATACCAGCTGTCTCTTCCCCCCAAACCTGAGGGGTTTATGTTCTGACTTTACCTTGCCTCCCTGGCCCCCATTAGCACAGTATGAGTGATAAGGGTCCTCCTGGGTGCCACTTCAAGGTGTATGCTCATCAGTTCTTCCAAGCCTGACACAGTGAGGTTCACTCTTGACACCACACAACACTGTCTAGACCTGAGAGGGATGTGTATTGAGGTGCGGGCCCAGAACTGCAGGCAAGCCAGCTAAGTATGATCTGCTGTGAACTTGTGGGTAGGTCTTCTGACCACTCAGACCCTCAGCTCCTCATCTGAAAGATGAGACCATGCCCCAGCACAGGCACAAGGTGTGGTGGGTGTTGTAGACTAGGCTCTGGGCCCTGTTGAAGGGGTTGCTGGCAATATGGTCTGATGAAGCCTCCTTACAGTACTGCGGTATCCTGTCCTGGGTTCCTTGGTCCTTGGATGGTGACCTCAAGTGAGGAGAGGTAGATGGAACCCTGCCTGGCCTTCCACACCAGGTCTGGATGAGTCCCCCAGGCAGGGTGAGGGTGCTGCTCCAGTGTTCTCATAACCTGATGACTTGTGACCCTGACTTGGGCCGAGGACAGCCTGTTGCTGTGTCCATTTTGCAAGTGAGCTAGATCAGTCCAATGCTGGTCCAAGGATGTGTCTGCAGGTAGATGGCAGAGTGGTGGGTGGAGGTGGAAGCCCAGCTCCAGGCAGCACACCCATGACTATCTGGCCCAGAAGTGTCAGCCTCTTCACCAGAGCTGTTTTTTTTTTCTTCCAGTCCTGGGGTTTGAACTCAGGGTCTGAGCACTGTCCCTGAGCTTTTTTTTGCCACTGAGCCACAGTGCAACTTCCAGTTTTTTCTGTGTATGTGGTACTGAGGAAGGAACCCAGGGCTTCATGCATGCTAGGCAAGCACTCTACACCGAGCCACATTTCTTGATTGGCTTTTTCACTCAGAGTTGGCACTCAGCTGGAACACTAGGGCTACAGGGATGGTGGAATTCTGGCTGACACACAAAAGCCTGGCTTTGGTGTGCCCAGCCTGAGATAGCGCAGCCCCTGAAGATCTCCAGCCCATGGTTACAATTGTGATTCCATCCTGGAAGGGCCTTGAAAAGCTGGAGGACCCGCAGGGAAGCCTCCACAAAGCAGGGACATTGGCTTCCAAGGTGTACAACCAAATCCCTGAAGGCTACTAGATCCTGTCGGCAGGCCATCCTCAGGACACAGGGTGGGCCTTGAGACACATTCTTTTGAGGCAAGGTAATACTGCCCCAGTACAATCTAAGATGGAAACATGCAGAAGTACAGGGACCTTTTCTCCTAAAGTTAACAGTCCCTCTGTCTGAGGACCTCTTCCAAAGAAGTTGTCCAGGTGAGCCAGTGGCTCACGCCTGTCATCCTAGCTACTCAGGAGGCTGAGATCTGAGGATCACGGTTCAAAGCCAGCCTGGACAAGGAAAGTACATGAGACTTATTTCCAATAAACCACCAGAAAACCGGAAGTGGTGCTGTGGCTCAAGCAGTAGAGCGCTCGCCTTGAGCTGAAGAAAGAGCTGAGGGACAGCGCCCAGGCCCAGAGTTCAAGACCTGCGACTGACCAAAAGAAAATAAGTTATCCAGGCTGTCAGGATGGACCAGTGGTCTAAGACTCCAGACTCAAATTCTGACTTCCCAGAGGAACTGTTCAAGCTTCTGGGCACTGCACAGCTTGGGGTCTCTGTTCCACCTCCTGCACTCAGGATCAGCTCAGCTCTGAGTGCTAGCTCTGTTGCTAGTAGTTTGGTATCCGGCCCGGAGAAGGGGAGGAAGGGGCTCCTGGAGCTAGAGGGCCCCGTAGGCAGGACACCTGGCGGGCAGAAGCTGATTAGCCCCGGAGCCCTGGTGGCCTCTGTGGTGAGGGAGGCAGCCCGGAGGTGGAGGAGGGCGGGTGGAGGTCAGGAGGCTCATCCTCCAGCTGCCTGCGGACAGCGGACAGAGGCCTTCCCACACCCAGGCACTCTTCCAACGCGGTCCTCGGTCCTCCTCGGGGCTCAGCCTCCCGGCTCCTGGTCACTGTTTAAACCAAAGTCCCGGGAGGGGTTTGGGCGGAGGGAGAGGAGGAGCGGACGGTCCGAGAGGGGCCCGGGCCCGGGGGCCGGGACCCCGCGGGCCCGCAGCGCCGCCAGCCGGCTTCCCATGCGGGGAAGGCGGGAGGCGACCCCGGCCCGGCCAGGCCCGGCGGGGCGACCCGGGGCTCCCCGCGGGCGAGGCGGGCGGGGCGGGCCGGGGACCGCCGGGAAGGGGGACTGGAGGGCGGGAGGGCGCGCCCGCCCCTCCCCTCCCCTTTTCCCCACCCCCCTCCCCCGTCCTCCCCCTCCCCTTCTCCCCGCCCCCGCCCTCCCTCCCCCCCATCCCCGCCCTCCCTCCTCCCGGCGGGGGCGGGGCCGCTCGGCTCCCGCGCTCCGGCCCCTCCTTGGCCACACAAAGGCCCGTCTCCATGGCAGCGGCGCGGGCCGGAGCGCGGCGCAGAGCGCGGCCCGGGCGCCATCGAGCCTCGGCGGCCGACGAGCAGGTACGGCGCTCCGGGACGGGGCCCGCGGGTGCGGGGCGGGGGCCGGGGTCGCCGTCCGTCCCGCCGCCGGGCCGGGCCCGCCGCGCCGGGGTCCCGGGCCGCCCGTCCGCGCGGCTGGGCCCCGCGCGCCTTGGGCTGGCGGCCCGGCCGCTCCCCGGAAGACGTCGGGCCTCGTCCAGCCTCGACCCTTCCTTCGGCCCCCTCCCCTCCTCTTCTGCCCGAAACGGCGCCCCTAGGGGCGCGCGCTCCGGCCCGGTGGCACCGGCGCAGCCTGGCCGACGCGGGGCTTTCCCGGGCCGGGCCTCAGCAGTCAGCCTCACCCCGGAGGCCGGGAACAGGGGTGGAGAGGGCCCGGCCCCCGGCCCCAGACCCCCAGGTCCCCGACCCAGACCCCCCCAGGTCCCCAGACCCAGACCCCCCAGGTCCCCGGCCGCAGACCCCCGGCCCCCCTGGCGTGGCGCCCGCGGCCCCGGGCCTGGGAAAGGGTGCTCAGCGCTGGCGCTCGGCACCCACCTGCTGGTCCCTCCCCCCGCGTGCCTTCTGGAAGTCTTCGTGGATGGGTTCTCGCAGCCTCTTTGTGGTCGGGCTCCAGGGTCTGCCCGCCCTCTCGAGGGGGTCCTCGTCGTTTCTTGCCACGTCATTTGACTTCTTCCAGGTCTTTGGGAAAGGAGGGGGGGGGTCTGTGGCCACTGTGGTGATGGCGATTAGGAGTGGGGTGAGGCCAGGCCGCCAGCCAGTGGAACATTCTGGGGACGGGGTCTCTTGAGGCCTTCAGTTGCCCGGAAGGCCCCACTTAGATGTCTAAAGTTAGTCATTGTGCGGGGCCTGTAAGGCTGAGCTCTCCCAGAACTGCCTACCCCACTCACCCCTGGAAGAGTGGGAGGGCCAGGCAGCCCAGAGCTGGAGCCGTACAACAGACCCTGCTCCCAGAAGATACCTGGCCCCGGGAGGGGGGTACCTCAAAGTCAGGACACCTGTGGAAGAGTCCTCCCTTTATTGTGTGTAGAGATGAGGGTCCCTAGGAAGATAGGGTGCACGACTGAAGCATTTCTTGTGGTGCCAGTTCTTCTGGTGTAGCATAGAAATTACTAGAAATGAGTCAGGCACTGGTGGCTCACGCCTGTAATCATAGCAGTTTAGGAGGCTTAGAGCTGAGGATCACCGTTCAAAGCCAGCCCAAATCAGAAAAGCTGTGAGACTCACAGCAATGTTGTGACTTAAAGTGGTAGAGCGCTAGCCTTCAGCAAAAAGAGCTCAGGAATGGTGCCCTGGCTCAGAGTTCAAGCCCCCAGGACCTACAAAAAAAAGAAATTACTAGAAAAGATGAAGGGAAAAGCAGGTAGACCTGCAGGCAGGTCTGATCCACACCCCCTCTTCTCTCACCTACATTCACCCACTCGTGCCTAGTGGGGAAAGGCCTGGGTCTGGGCCTGGGTTCCTGGCCTCGGGAGCTGAGGGAAGTTATTGAGAAAAACAAGGGTTTGGAATGTGGGTCCCCCCTCCCCCGCCGGCGGCGGCCTGCCAGGAAGGAATTATTTTGGATTATCCAGCCGTGTCCAGCCACCCCAGGAGGAGCCGTGGGAGTGGAGGGATCCACTTCCGCCTGTGGGTTGGGAGCCCTGGAAGGGAGGGGCCGACAAGTCTGTACAGCTCCCAGGACTGCTCAGACCAGTCAGGGGCAGGGTGGAGAAGGCCCCAAGGTTCCCTGCAGGCCCTACTGCCCCTGGAGTAGGCCTGGCACCTCTGAGGGGAGCATGGTCCAGAGTGATCTGGACCCAGCCGGGGGACCCTTTTCTCCCCCAGAATCTTTGGTAAGAGCCTGTTGAGGCCACTCTGTACATCCAGGTTCAAGGACACACTTTGGATGAGTTGCATTCCGGGTTGGCATGGATACGGGTCAGGCTGATTGGACATATCCCAAAGGTCTCCAAGTTGAACCCTAGGCCACCTTCCAGCCCAGGCCTCGTGTATATGCCCCCTCCATTGGGAGGTGGAATTGGTCAGAACACAGAGATGAGCCCTCTGAGAAGTTGTGTAGGGTATTGCTGGGTTGGCCGCCTGGGTCTCTGCCCTGGCGCCCTGTGCCACCATGTGCCCAGAAGCCTACATGGAGACCACACTGGGGAGGCAGAGCTGGTAGCTAAGGTCCAAGTGCAGGAAGCACAGAGGCTTGGCCCTGGCCCAGACTAGTGGAGCAGAAAAGATTGGATGGGAAGGCACTGGGGTGGGCTGGCAGCCTGGAGCAGGGTCCATATGGCACAGGCACCCATCCCCTTCCCCCCACCAGGACTCTGGCTGTCCTGGGAACAGCACTGCGTCCTGTTCTCTGCCGGGTACCCACAGCCTGGGACTGACGCTGGTGGTGCCCCAGAGCCTTGGAGTAGGGACAGTAGCGTTGGTGGAAGAAGCTTCAACCACTGCTCCCCTTGCCGTGCTTCTGAGCCAGGCCGGGTTCCCCCACGGAGGGCTGTCCTAAGTCAGGTTTGGCAGTCCTTGAATACATCACTCCCCAGGGTCTCTGGTTGAATCCCATCCTGTCTTCCTTCTGCCTTGCAGAAGGAAGTGTAGGGAAGAAGCTTTTCCTTCTGTCTGTGGTCTCCTGTAACAGAATTTGCCTGAGATGGCTGGCAAGAAGTAGATGAGCTGACTAAAACTCAAGCACAGGCCTGGCCAGTTCATGGAGGGGCTGAAGCAGTCCCCCAGCCTCACAGCCCTTTGAGGCGGATGCTGGGTCAGTGAGTGGTGATTGGACAGGGGTAAGAGCTAGGTGAAGCCCCTCCCTCAGGGCTAATAGCTGCTTGTGTTTAGAGCAGGGTGTTAGGGGAGGTGGGGCTGTCCCAAGATTAATTACAGAGGAGGAAGAGTGGACTGGTGCCTTTGAGTGGGGGCCTTGGGTGCCCCCTTTTCCTCTTTCCAGTCTCCTTCCTCTCCATGGTTTCACATCCTCTGCCCATGCGCCTGTTCCCTGCCCCCCAGCGTGCAGGCACCTTTCCCCTCTGCTGACCCAGCCTTGCCTCGGCCTTTCTGCCGTCTTTTTGTCAGGTAGAACATTGGAAGGCTGGGCCTGCGCTCCTGACTCTTGAACCTTCCTTACTACTCTCTGTGGAATTTGTGAACTTGTGACAATGACTGGACTCAGAGCTCCAAGTCCAGGTGGCTAGTGAGGGTGGAAACAGGCCATTCACAGAGGCCAAGGGCCCATCGGGCAAATCTAGATTTGGAGCTGATCCTGAAACCCTTGTAGCTCAGGCTCACCCCCACCCCCCACCTTCTAGCCCACTCCCTTCCCCCACCAACCTCCCCCCCTTCCCGAGCCTGGCCCATCTGACTCCACTGTGCCCAGCAGCCTTCCCTGGAGTAGACTTGAGTGCACACCTGAGCCGCCTGGGGCAGCTACCCACTATAGCCTATGCGCAAGAGGCCCTCGACCTGAACAGGGGTTAGAGTGCCTGGGCTCAGGGCCTAGGCTTAGTGCTCAGACACTTTTCCTCAGCTTCCTGAGGTCACCAGGCTTCTGAAACCCAGCAGTTCCCCATTCTGGTGCCAGTTGAGTCCTGGCTCTGAGCCTTAAGGCAAGAAAGGGAGGCCCCTTGGGTACAACTCTAGTTCTGCCTTCTGCTCTGCCGTGAGCCCAGCAGCCTGGCCTCCGGCATATCCTGTCTGGGTGCAGGGGCTGGGCACCTGGATTAGGCCCTGGGCCCCTGTGGCACACCTGGCTGGCAGTTCCCATGTGGGGCCCTGAGTGAGCAGACAGATCTCTGCACCTGAGGCCGCCCTAGCTGTAAGAGGAAGAAAGGATAATGCCTGGATGTCACCTGTGTGACACAACCTTTGAAGGTTGTGACCCCTGGCCGGTGAAGGATGTCTGCTTCTGAGGCTGGAGTGGCTCTGAGTCAGTATGCCTCCTTTGCAAGGCCATATTGGCTCGTTTGTCAGATTGGGGTCCACCTGTCCTGTCCGTGTCTGGTACAGGGGGTTGAGTACCCCCAGGCAGCTGCTGGGACTGAGTCCTGCTCCCTCTGCTTCCGAGCTGGTTGCTGAGGCTGAAGCAATCTTCAGAAGTGACCGGAAAGGTTTTGTGTGATTGGCGGATGCCCTGCTAAGCCCCTTGCCTCATTCTTGGCGGTGCCCTAATCTTGAACCTAATCAAGTGCTGGAGTCTGAGAACAGCCACAAGCATAGGAGAGCAGATTTGTCTTGGGGTGGAGGAGGAACCAAGGAGGCGTGAAACGTGAGGTTCAGAGACCAAGGGCCTATGCCTGGAAAATGACGCCTTCCCTCGGGGAGGGAGATAACACCCCTGCTGGGGCCTGCCCATCCAGCCTCACACACTGGACACTAGGGCATGTCTTCCTGCCCACCAAGTGGGATAAGCTATTTTTTTAATGTTTTTTTAAACGTATTTTTTTTATTGTGAAAATACTGTACAGAGGGGTTACAATTACATGGGCAAGACAATGAGTACATTTCTTATCAAACATTGTACCTCCTCCTCTGTTTCCCCTTCCCATCCCTTCGCATCCTCCCCCTGTCCCCCCCACCAAAGTTGTAAAGTTCGTTTTTTGACATAAGGACTTGTACAAGGGATAAGCTATTTTGAGTTGAGTTTGGCAAGGGTGAGTGGCAGGTGGTGGTAGGGAGGGGCTCCCTTTGAGCCTCAGATGCTCCCTAGGCAGGCTAGGGGTGTGAAGGGGCTTGGCCATTCCATCTTGGCATTGGCATCAGGCTTGACGTGGAGGAACACCATGCGAGTCCTCAGGATGGGGTTAGCGGCACGAGACTCAAGCGGTGTCTCCTGCCCAGCAGTGCCCCATCCAGCACCAGCTCCACCTTTCCCAAGTTTAGCATCTAGACCTGGAGCCCCCGAGGCCTCCATGGAGCCAGATCTTAGTTTGTCCAAGCTCCTGGCCATACTGAACGGACAGCTGAGTAGAGGAAGGGACTGGGCCTGGCCAGGAGGAAACAAGAATGGGCTCCGTCCTGGGCAGGAAGACCAGTGA